TTTACATGCCCTAATTTTCTATCCATGACCTTAATGTTGGCTTTTAATTGAGCAGCTACTTGTCGCTGTATGTTACTGATGTCATATAATATACGACTCATGTAAGCATCTATTTTTAATCTAGGCTGATATTCATCTGGGGGCTGCCCTCTTACCCACCAATGCTCGGGAGCTCTCATGGGTCTTCCCATCATGGCCTCAAATGGAGTAAAGCCATGAGAAGCTATAGTTGATCTAATAGCCATTAGAACAAGGGGGAGTTTTATATCCCAGTCCTTTCCTTGGAGGGAGATGACTTTCCTCAATGCAGTTTTTAGTGTTCTATTAGTTCTTTCAACTGAACCGGAGCTTTGGGGATGACCTGCAATGCGTAATCGCTGCTTTACTCCCAAGGCTTGGCACAACACTTGAGTAATCTCACCAACGAAGTGAGGACCTTGATCTGAGTCCATTTCCAAGGGCAACCTAAATCTGGAAAAGGTTTCTTCTAAAAGGACCTTAGCCGTTGTTTTGGCAGTACAATTCCTTGTTGGATAAGCCTCTACCCATTTGGTGAACACGTCAACTACTACTAAACAGTATTTATGACCCCTGCCAGTGCAGGGAAGGGGACCAATATAGTCGATTTGGATCCTGCACCAAGGACCTTCTACGAGATGGTGCTGCAAGGGTCCCTTAGCGATTCTTGATGTTGCGTTGTTCTCTACACATCTTAGGGCAGGTCTTCACTACAGGGGGGGGTCGATTTAAGATACGCAAATTCAGCTACGCGAATAGCGTAGCTGAATTCGACGTATCGGAGCCGACTTACCCCGCGGTGAGGACGGCGGCAAAATCGACCTCCGCGGCTCCCAGTCGACGGCGCTTACTCCCACCTCCGCTGGTGGAGTAAGAGCGTCGATTTGGGGATCGATTGTCGCGTCCCGACGAGACGCGATAATTCGATCCCTGAGAGATCGATTTCTACCCGCGGGTAGTGTAGACCTAGCCTTAGACAGGATTAGATGTGGGTATTAACATCCTTCCAGATTTCTGGCCACCAAGCTACAGACGTCAGTTGCGCCATGGTCTTCTCTGGACAAAAGTGGCCTTGTTGATGGGCTAGCATGACCAGTTCCTTTCTCAGGCTGCAGGGCATCACCAACACCGGGAATGCATTGTTGTCATTCCTTTTACAGGCTAAGATGAGTCCATGCTTGTCTGTGTAGATAGAGTACCCTTTGCTCTCTACTTTTTCCAATAAACTTTTGATTTGTTGATCTCGCTGTTGAAGCTGTTTGATGTCAAGTTGGCTATTTACATCAGGATCCAAAGGTTGAATCTTGGAGATGGGAGATGGTGTATGGCTCCATAGATGGCTTTCGTCTAATAAAGCGGCCTCCTTGGCTAGACAATCCACTTGGTGGTTTAATTTAGATGCTTCCATATGGTCCTTACAATGAGCCTTCACCTTACACATATAGGTACCTCCTTTCCTGTCAGATGCTAGATTCCAGGCGTGTTGAAGATAGTTGAGTACTTTATGGGTTTTCCATCTGACGAGTGCATTTGGTTCTGGATCCATACTGGCATCCAATCGCTCAGAGCCCGAATCACCCAGTCTGAGTCCGAACAAATACATACGTCTTCTTCCTGCTTTTCCTCATACAGGACTGCTACCACTGCCACTATTTCAGCTGCTTGAGCCGAATACGGTCTCACCGTGCCTTGCAGTACCTTTCCTGAGTTTGGCTGTAAGGCCGCATATCCGGCGTGTACCTGGCCGTCTTGATGGCAACAACTACCGTCCACCACCCATATGGTTAGTTTCATTTCCTTAATTCTCAGGAAGCTCTTTTCCACTTTAAAGGGAGATTTAATCATCGGAGTCGACGGTGATAAAGGGCACTCATGGCCCTGTCCTTCCGACAGCAGCGCATAAGGAAGGATACTAAATTGAGGCGACTTGCATACCGTGATGTCTCGGTTTACCAAGCTTAGAGTCCAATTAGCAAGTCGAGGGGAGGACACTCGTCCCTCGTTGATTTTCCCTGATACGACATATTTGATGGGCGTGTGTGATGTTCTCAGGATAACAGGAGCCAATCCCATCAAATACTCCCAATGGCTGAGTGCCCACACCAGTGCTAAGACCTCCTTCTCACAGGGGCTGAATGTCCGTTCCACCTGAGTAAGAACGCTCGACCCATAGGTGACCGGTCGTAGTCCGCTGCCTTGATCCTGCAACAACACTGCACTAATTCCATCCCCATCTGTGGCCAGCTGTAGATGAAAAGG